GGCATTGATAGTCGAACGTATCTAGCCTCTTCATGTCCGCCGATCTTAGGGGCCAGGTTTCGCAACCGTACAGTAAGGTCGAACGTACAACAGCATTGTAAACTCTATCCTTCAGGGCGAAAGTGATGTCGCGCCGCCGCCATAGGTGGCGAAGACTAGCAAAAGCACTTCGAGCTACGATATATGGTGCGTAATCTCCTCGTCAATCACAAGGGCGCTGATACAAATTCTCAGGTAGTTGAATTTCCGGACGACTTCCAGCTGATCCCCACCAAGGGTCAGCGCAGGAGGCGATCCCTGCCAATCTTGGAGGAAAGCTTTGTACTTGGATAGTGCAAAGCAAATCACGAAACGGCTGACAGCCAGCGTCACTCTGTCCAGTGCAGCTTGACACGTCTGGGCGCTGTCACAGATGAGGACAATGTCGTCTGCATACTCCAAGTCAAGAAGTCGTTCTCCTGGGAGCAGCTCCGCACTTTCCAAGTCATGTCCTATAAATGCAATCTACATGACTGTGTCAATAGCGAACTCGAAGAGGAAAGGTGACAGCGGGCATCTTTTTTTCATACCGCTGGAGATATCGAAGGGTGCCGACAGCTTGCCGTAAGCAAACACTGCCCGTGTTACGCGCATATAATGCTTGGATAATATTTACATCTTTCTGGGGCACACCATTCCTGAGTAGACAATTCCAAAAGGCACATCGACCAATCGAATCGAAGGCACATTTGATGTCGAGGAACCACGACTACGGTGGGCCGCCAATACGTGTGATGGTGTTCCAACAACTGACACAAAGTGTATAGGTGGACGATGTAGCCACAACCCCGACGAAACCCGACTTGCTCCTCACGAATCTGGCTTTCATGAGCGCCAGTCAGTCTGTGAAGGATTATAGAGACGAGTAATTTGGTGGCGAGGGAGATGAGACTAATTCCTCTATGGTTGTCGCATTCCGAACGCGAGCCGCCTTTGAAGATGGGAACAATAATGGAGCGGCTCGAGTCAGTTGGGATAGCTTCCTGCTCCCGCAGTTTCACTAATAATTCAACTAAATCATCAACAGGAGCAGGGCCTCCGAATTTGAAGAGTGCTAGAGGAAGATCATCTGGTCCTGCGGCTTTGTTCAACTTCAACAGTCCGATCTCACGTTTGACTTCTGAGCGAGAGGGTGGATCCAAATGGACAGCTCACGGAGGAGGGCGAGCACTGCCCGGCGAAGAATCGAACAATTCTGACCAATTAAATTGCTTTTTACAATGCTCAACCCAATGCTCCAAACGTTTTGATAAATTGTGGATAAGCTGTCCACTGTCGTCACGCATAGTTTCACTAACACTTGTTCTCCTGTTGCCCGTTTGCCGTATCAGATGGAATAACTTGCGATGGTTACCAAGGGCAACGGCTACTGCCATCTCTGACGAAAGAAGAGACCACCAAGGTTCGCAGTCTCTCATCATCATCATCATCATCGTACACGTTAGCTAGAAGTAGGAGACACCTCAGCTACTGTGCCGCAATACACAGAAAAGGAGCAAAAAAACTGCAACTGGTGCAAGCCGGCTGAGCTACCTGTAAAAGACGGGCGTCGTTCCGGCAAGCCACCAGCCGGCTACAGTGCATCAAAAAAATTACTATGAAAAGTTATATAAGGCTAAATAGTGAGATCGAGGTTGGAGGGGTAGGCTAAGAGGGGTGGGGTGGGACAAAGAAACTCACACCATGAACGCCACTGAGGTAGGCTACTTGCCATGTCAGCAAGTGTATCCAGTCAAACTTGTTCATCGTCTTTTGGACCCCAACCAGGGAGCCGTAACGCTCCAACTGAGGCAAGCTCCGAAGTTTGGGCCTTCATTCCTCTGAACAAAGTCATCGCTTGGCCACCGCTTCTCTTCTTCCGTCCACAACCCCGGCGCGCAAACGACGCTCATCGGGGAAGTAGGTGGGCTGGCATGCGAAACACGTGGCCCAGCTATCAGAGCCTTTTCCGTGAAATGACGGTGCTGAGGGGTTCATTTCCATTTTCTGTACCGTAAACAAGGCGTCGAACACACTCGTTGCTCACGCAGTGTTCCCACCAGATGTGAGGTAAGTTGCGAAGGCAGTGGTGGTCGAACGTAACTAGCCTCTTCAGGTCCGCTGCTTTAAGAGGCCAGGTTTCGCAACCGTACAGTAAGGTCGAACGTACCGCTGCATTGTACACTCTACCCTTAAGGGTGAGAGTGATGTCGCGCCGGCGCCATAAGTGGCGAAGGTTAGCAAAAATGCCCCGAGCTTTTGCTATAAGGTTCGTGATCTCATCTTCAATCCCAATGGCGCTGATACAACTTCCGTGGTAGTTGAAATTTTGAACGACTTCTAGCTGATCCCCACCAACAATCAGCGTAGAAGGCGGTCCAGACCAATCTTAGTGGAATGGTTTGCACTTCAAGGGTGCCAAGCAAAGCCCGAAGTGACGGACAGTAATCCTAATCTGTCCAGTGCCGCTTGGCACGTTTGTGAGCTGTCACAGCTTAAGACAGTATCGTCAGCATAATCTAAGACAAGAAGTCATTCTCCTGGGAGCAGTTCTACACCTTTTAAGTCGTGTCCTGTGAGCGCGATTTCCATGACTTCGTCAATAGCGAAGTTGAAGAGGAAAGGTGACAACGGACATCCTTGTCTCACACCGCTGAAGATATCGAAGGGTGGAGACAGCTTGCCGTAAGCCCACACCCTGCCTGAGCTACGCGCGTATAATGCTCGGATAATATTTACGTATTTCTCAGGTACACCTTTCCTGAGTAGACCGTCACCGAATCGAATGAACCTTTGATATCGAGGAACACGACAACGGTGGACCGCCAATATGTGTGATGGTGCTCCAACAACTAACGCAAAGTGAAGAGGTGGTCAATGCAGCCACGATCTCGACGAAATCCGCCTTGCTCCCCACGAATCTGGCTTTCACGAGTGCCAGTCAGTCTGTGAAGGATTATATAGGCAAGCAATTTGAAGACAATGGAGTTCAGACTGATTCCTCTATGGTTGCAGCATTCCGATCGTGAGCCGCCCATGAAAATTTGGACAATAACGGAGCGGCTCCAGTTGGTTGGGACTGCTTCCTGCTCCCACAGTTTGACTAGTAACTAGGGTAAATTATCCACAAGAGCAGTTCCCCCGAATTTGAAGAGGGCTGGAGGAAGATCATCTGCTCCCGCGGCTTTATTTAACTTCAACAGTTCGATCTCTCGTTCGACTTCAGGCTAGTACGGAATCTTGTCCGGAGCTCTTTGCGAGTTTCATTTGCTGGCTTCCAGCTGGGACATGCCGGCGAGCCTCGATAAGTTCCAGAGACCGCGCAGAGACCCAATGTGCATGTTGGTTATTAGACTTATATTCTGTTAATGTCTACTATATGTCTGCGAGATATATAATACGCCTTCACTTGGGGTTAAGGTCGACAATTCTGCCGATCGTGTAATGTCATCAAGTTCTGCGGTAATAAAATCAAGATTGACATAACTGTTGAGCATTACTTAGTGGACTTAAATGACATATTAGCACCGTATTTATAAACAAATGGGTATACTTTACCCACAGATGAAAAACGTTTTCCTCTGGGGGCACAGTCATTTATGTTGGGCTACGTATCTTTACTAAGGTTTTCAGTTAGTTTTTGTCTTACTCGCAACTAGCTTTCAAGCCAGCTAATCAAACCACCAATCCGAAAAAGCACCAGGCGGCTGTTTTATCTTCTAGAGGCTTGTCATTGGTGTACACTTTCCCGGTCGCCTTTAGGAACGGGACCCGGGATCACTAGTGACTTGCATCATATGCCAGGAACTTATGCTGCCAAGCCATGGGTGACGATAGGCGGCATCATGGATAGTAAACGATTGGCGATATTTATTACGTGTTCCGGGTACATTAGTGCATTTATATCGTGTAATCACCCACTATGCCTTTTGAATATTAGGTCTGAGTTCAGGTAGAGTTAGGTTCATAGGTGCTCTGTCCATCAACTTCGAGGTCGATAAACCCCAGCGACTTTTATCATATGAGACAATGAACAGACTAAAAAGATACTTGTAGCATATGTGACTTGGCCCGGATTGCATGAATGTATTCGGAGGATGTCGTAGCCCAAACGTTTTGACCGCCTTTTCAGCCGGTAAATCTAATACTGAGCGTAGTGGAATCAGTCGTGATTTATGTATTCACTACTAATGCACACAAGAATTGACACTAATTTTTAACGTCATAATTTCACTAAGTTTCTAAGTTGGCGTAGCTTTATAGTTGCTCAGCGAAACTCTTTCCCCTTGGCCACTGTAAAATTGCACCTGAGAAAACAACGCCACATGTTCTATGCTCTGTTTGAAAATCCTGTATGGTAGACTAAACTTGCTACACAAAATTGCATAATATGAGCAGGTTAATCTCTCAACCGACACTGGGTTATCAATAACGTTTCCCTTAAAGTGCTGCTAAGCCACAATTTGGTGAATCTGCGAAATCTTTAAGCAGTCTAGTCTTTGGATTAAATGGTGTGAAAAGTTGATGGAGTGCAGGCCAGTTGACTGCAAAAAAATTCGGTATTCAATCCGTTAAGATCAAAGCTTATGGCAAATTTGCAGGTGTATTGGTTGTTTAGAGCGATACGAAATAAAAATAACGGAACAAATAACTAAATAGCTAACAGCATGTACAATTATCCTATGTGGGATACTCTGTACACGTGTTTCGATGAGATGATAGCAGGAAAACACAAGTACCTAGCTGGGTGTGCTTGCGGATAACTGAGGAAACATATTCAAATTGATTAGCGGACGAGCAGGCTATAAGCTGGGGACTACTGGAGCAATATTTATAATATCTCATTAATCATATGGTTATTATTTATGCATGTCACAGCTGATTTACTTCGTTGTAAAAAAGTAATAATCTAGAGAGAGAAAAAAGATATTGAATAGTGAACAAACGTTACACGGGGTTCATCGGATGGAGCAAAAACGCACTTAAGCTCTTGGCAAATTCTCGTGATTTCGCGATGGCATCAAAGTGTTGTGGGTTGTATCGTCGCCCTTCCGGATAAATGGCTATCCATGCCTGTTGAATAAGGTAGAAATACATTGGACGTATGATAGTGGTGTCTAGAAAATTACGGCCGCATCGGTGTGGCTGTCTAACACATACTGGCAGACAGGTATGTAGATGACTTAGCCTTGCCACTACACACAGTCATGCTCCCTAGCGATGGTAGTTTGGTCGATAGAGGAGAAGTATTCTTCCATAAAAACATCGTTTTTTAATCATAGGGGTTGAGTATAATAAAAACAGTAGCTATCTGCACCATACAAACCAAGGCCACCAAGTGCCTAGCTTGGATGAAAATCAGCCGGTCGTTCGCAACCCAAAGTACTAACGTACTTGTAAGTAAACGCAACGTACTATTATAACAATATAAGCACGTTGTGACAGTCTGCCGCCGTCCTTCATAGCTCAGTGTCATATTTTTTAGCTAATTGTCTCAAGCTGCTAGCGGTGACGGATTCGGTTCTCTGTAGATAACCGGATGAATATGCACTACCGACGAGCTTATTTAGAGTGAAACGATCGTCGTGCGCTTTACCGCATTGGGGCTTAAACTACCTGGCTTGTAAGCTGCTGTGAGGAACCAGTAAACTTTTGAGTGCGCACTCTGGTTTCCAACGAGGTAACGGTTTTCATAAGATGACTTTATGTGTGCGGCAGTGTCCACGTGGTTCTTACTTGTCTCCTATTGCGGCGCCAGTGGGAGTAATCTCAAGTTACATCAGAGTGGCCAGGTGGAGGATTGAACAAAACGTGCACCGCCACGATAGTCGCGCACCTAGCCCAACTGACTCATCTCGTCGTTATTTACAAAGTTTTTCGTCCGTTCTACTGCGTGAGGAGTGTCCATTCAAAGCTTATCAGATGTTTAATTTTTGCATTGGTGAAGGCGATCGAGATTCGTCTCAACAATCCCCGTTGTATGTACACAAACAGCTCGTCAAGGCTTTGGTTTTACCATGGCCAGCTGCCGTTCGCGTAGCTTCGCGTGAACGAATCACACCCATTTTGGGCATATTACACCTCCATTTTCCAGTGACTAAATCCATTTTCTATTATTTAAGAGTGATGTATTTGGCTTGACGATGAATCACCGAAAACGAGCCTGTTCGCTACACCGTCTTTTCATGACTGACACGGGAATTATTCACCATTTGAAATAAACGTCAGTTGTTACTCATAGTAGTGATTGTTGAGCAGATTCACTTTTTGGGTCACATCCACAGTTAATCGTTTACACTAATGCTCCCTAATTTTTCAGAAGAGAAAGAGTTCGATTGTAATACAGCTAAAATGATCAGGTTGTCAGCCAACTAGAGACATGGTTGGGTACGCACACCGTCTGTGTACAAAATGACGTGTCTGATGGCTCAATCGAACTGAAGTATGGCTTGGAGACAATTACTCAGTGGTAAGGCACAATAAAATGCACGTGATCGATAACGCTGCTTTAAACTTGCTGGTCAGCTCATGTGATAGCCAGCGCCTCTTTGACACATTAATCTCGTTTCTGTTCTCTACATCGCACGCGCAATGTCGCATACTTGGCAAAGATGAGTGCTTGATATGGTTGCATTCATTTTTTAATAGTCGTCTGAAAATGTAGCAACTCTAGATTGACGTCAACGGTACTGTGTGTGCTACAAACACGTGACGTGATATTTGATTCAGACAATCGTGGGGCCAAGAATTGTTTTGTGTTAGTCGGGGTCGTGACAACCATAGAGAACCATGTGCCGGAAGGATGTGATTATAACCCAGTGTGGTTGGTTGGAGATAAAGGAAATGATAACTAATGTCAAACAATGTGAAGTGTTATGTAAGGACGTATAAGTGTTACCTAGTGGCATAAACAACTATAGTATACTAAACGTGAGAAGTGAACCCTAGTTAAGATGTTGTGCCATAGTCAATGAGCACAAGCTTCACCTGGGAAACTCTTGTGCTAGGAAACTATTTAACCATCGCAGAATCACCTAGGGGAAAAAGAGAGCAGGATATACGGAGAGGTAACATTGATCCTGAAACCGCCAACTGTATAGCCACTAAAGACATACGATTCAAAGGCTTTGTTAACTTTTCTACACGCGTTTTAAACTGAGAGTTTATTTACACTGCCGTAAAAACACGCTCTTACTTCAGCCATTAATGGGATCAATGAGCGCCGTTGACAGTATAGTATGCTTCACTGAGTGTGATTTCTCCTTGTTGCAGTGTCACAACCAACGTACTGATACCGAAACACAAATGGGTACGAAATTCTGCAAATCAGTTTATAGTGCTTAACAACAGATGAATATTTGGTCAATGTCACGTCAATTGTTTTCCACATTTTAAACCTTCATATTTAGGAACCTCAAATACTGTGAGTCTTAGTGAAGGTAGTAGCTCAGACTAGCGGATGTGTTGCATACGTCCAACGGCCGTCAATTACTGTCACCGGGTTTTGAAGAGCTTCCGGGACTCTTGTTCACTGGTACGGAGTAACGTGATCCCAGGTAATTACCAGCAGCAAGACACTGATAAGTCTCTATATTGTCGTGGAAATGAGACTGAGTAGCTTGGGGACAAACGTGTGGCAGCTGCAACGATACAGCCATGCACATGTGTGTAGTGCTCACGGTCCAGACAGATTGTATCCACAAGCTGCTCATCATTCCACATCGATCGGCTAATTGCGTAATGCGATAACAAGTATTGCTTGAATCCTACACGACAGAATCAGGAAAACCCGATAATCTCTAGACTGCCAGAGAGCAGTCACCCATTGCTGAGAAGAAAATAAGGGAGCAATCTCACAAATTCCACAACACCGTGGAACCTACTATGTTATATAGCTTTCTACTACAAAAATACTTGCAACGTATCACAAGGAATCTGTAAGAGCAACGTCTGTGATGCTAAAATATCCTTTAGTCCTACTCACTGAGTATGCGATTTAAAGCTCCTAGGCCCAACAATACTCTCAGTGCAAAAAGATTAGTGAAGTTTGTGCGAATGAATTCGGACTCATCCAAATTAAGTGCAAAGCTTGTCCCATCTAATGGTATTCATGCCAACTAGAAATGCCTCCAAAATAATGCAGATCTCTAAACTTCTTACTGTAAGACCGACCTTCGTTATTTGACAATACCCAGTCCGAATTTAGACTACACCATTTGTCACGCGAAGCAGCAAACTTAGAGCCTTTTCTATAACGCGGTCTCACATAATCTGTTGCCAAAGGATCTATTATCCCAGCCACCATTAGTATCACACCCTCTAAGGTCTCTCCTCCAACTACACCTGATAGTGTAAAATGGCTTCTGTAAGCCCCTCGATTTCTGAGGACATTCAGCTTGGCTCTTTTAAAACATATTTTCCGTTAATCATCCTCGCTTAAAAGAAGGGAATTCGCAACTCAGGCGCTGCTAGGTTTGTATTATAAGTAAAGAAATACATAAAGAAATAAACTTTTAGGCTCTACGATGTAAGACACGCCTGTGTCGGGGTGATTAGGTAAGTGTGTGAGTTTACAAAAGTGGGTCACAGAGTGATCGGAAAAAGTTTAATATCAGATCAGATAATAACGTTTGGAAGAAAGCAAAGACCTAATAAATAGCTGACTGAAATGAAGTGGTGTTGGTTAGCTTTTATAGTGTCGTCGCATAAAGCACCTAAATCACAGGAGAGTCTGATGGTGAAACATGTACTGGGTCATCGAAACCTTGACCATGCTCATACGCTTGGATTGTTATTATAGATCAAACAGTTTGGTCAAGTTCTGTACATAGAAGAGCTGGTTGATGCTTTTGTGAATTTCGTGTCCAAGGGTGCCGGCACGCATTCCGGGTGGTCGCTTGTCCCAGACTCTGGCGTACCAGTTAAGTAAAATGTTGGCAAACCTGCTTGTCCTGGACTTGCATTCCACCACTGAGTTCTGTTCGTTTTGCAAGTTGTAGACTGCAGATTGCGTTACTATCATGTTGCAGTTAAAAACATGACCGTTTCCGTGCAATATGTTGAGGTAGATGACTAGCCTGTGTTGCATGTGCCATAGCTAGAACGAATCAAGCTTGAGCTTAGTACATCCTTTAGAATGTTCTAGTTTTGAAAAAGCACCTAGGAAGTAGTTTGTGAATACTCTATGTACGTGTTACAGCGCAATGCGGCCTCGTTTTTAGGCTACATTACACCAATGAACAATACCCAACGTGCGTCGAACAACTAATAAGTAATAATGATGTATTGGTTCATGTAGGAAAAAATTCTGCACACCAATCCAATTTTCTGTTGTATTCTCGCTGTGGCATAGCCTACTTGTTCACCGACCTCAAGTGAGTAGTAGAACAAGTATTCGGTTCCGGTATATAAGCACAAACTTAACACGGGCATTATCGATGAGAAGTATGAACACTTGAACAACGGCGTGAAAAAGTTATATGGCGTAACCGTAAGCTAACCATAATCCTTACTTTAAAGCGGGGATAGATCTGTATACCTCAGTCTCACGTGGCAGTAACTACTGAGTGTAAAATTCGCCTGCTTCATGGCTTCACCAAGTGATCATGAGGCATAGCATAAACCCAAACCAAGTCCTACAACATCCTGTCATTTGCAGGCATGGTAAAAGTGACTGCGCAAACGACATAAGTCGAGTGTATTGCATGGTTAATAAACATAGTGAAAAGAAATTTCGGTGATATTCCAACCGGTAATAGTATGCTAACAAATTTAGCTGGTGGCCCATCTGGTTGGTATTGTGACTAAGTTTAAGGGCGGTCATTAAAAGTGACTAGGGTTTTCAAGATCTGCGAGGTCATTAAAAAGTCACGCTTTATGCGATAGTGCCTTCCGCTGCACATTGTTAGGTCTTTCAGCTGAAATTGCTAAGAAAAACTATCTGTAACGCACTTAATTAACCTGCACGTTAGGGGACCTTAAAGTGGTGAGAAGGTTTGTGTGCTTCACTTATGCATTATGCTATGTTAAGTTGTGCTGTTTGTACCTCCAGGATCAGTCATATCAGACTGGTC